GAGGAAGGGAGAAAAGGAGGAGAAAGGAAGAGCGAGAAATGGGCCTCTTTGCTGGGCAGCCCACCTTGGCCGTGAGATGGAACAGAAATCTCTATAGCAGAGACTTTCCACCAAGACCTCACCTCTAGAGCCCCTGACATACCAAGTCATGGCCTGCTCATCTTTTTTAAAATACGCCAATTTGTGAGATAGAAAAAAGATTGGAGCCCGGGTGGTGTGGCTCAGTTGGTCACCAGTTCAATTCCTGGTCAGGGCACGTGCCTAGGTTGTGGACTCGATCCCTAGTAGAGGGCAGCCGATTGATGTTTCTCTCTCATCCATGGTTTTTTCTCTCTCGCTCCTTCCCTCTCCCTTCCTCTCTCTCTAAAAATACAATAAAAACATATTTTTTTTAAAAAGAAAAAGGTCCGAGAAAGAGTGTGTTCCTCACTCGGCTGCAGGAACAACACATCACAAATACAGAGGCAGCCCCGTGTTTCTCCGGCCCATCAGCCTTTCTCCCTTCTAGAACTAACCACTGCTCAAGCCTGGCTGCATCCTCCTCACGTGTGTCTCTGAACTGAACTCCATTACATGTACCCTAAACATCGTTATGGTTTTGGACATGGCTCTGGATTCTTCAAAGCTCCCCCAGGAGGCTGGAATGCACGGCCTAGGCTGAGGAACCAATTTCACGGGCTCCTGTAGGGTGGCAGGTGCAGGGCTCGTCTGGAGGGTTTGAGGGAGGGCAGGGGAAGGAAGGAACCCTCTTCACAGTTTTGTTTTTGTCTAATCAGGCTCAGGGGTGAACTCTGTTTCCAGCCCCTTCTCCTTAGTAACATGGCAACCGCTCTTTGAAACTTTGACCTTGGTCTCTTGGGTGGTCTGGGCAGGTGGGCCCATGAAGCAAACTGTTGTTCATCTGGTCTACATCCGATGCCTACCCCTTTCTCCCTGGCCTGCCTCCACCACGGAGGCCTGGCAGCTGAATCCGTGCTTTCCCAGGCGGGCCACCTGGCACAGGTGTTACCCACGGGAGCAGGAGTCCGCTGGGCTGCTGCGATGGCTCCCTGCTGCCTGCTGGCGTGGGCAGGCTGGTCACCACTGCTCCCGTTTCCTGGTTGGAATTTGGACCTGACAACGGGTGGGGCAACAGACACCAGGAATCGGAGCCGACTTCTCCATTCGATGCAGCAGGCTCAGTGCCCGGGGCCCACGATATTTTTAGGGGCCATGAAAATATTTTAATTCCTTTCAAAATCACAAGAAAAAAAAAATACAGCCTGGCTGTATTCGTCTTTATAGGAATGCAGTCATAAAAAATAATTTTTAATGTCTGATAAAGGAGCCACGACAGCAAGCGTGTCTAATGCCCACAGAAGGGATAACAAAGCCAGGGTGAAGGAGTGATCAGCACCGCAGCTTGACCAGCTTGGTAGCATTTAGCCACAGAACCAACACCAGCAGCCTCCTGCCTCCTTCTCTCATGTGAGACATTAAGTGCCTCTTTGCTAAGCCTCCATAAATCAGGCTCTCTGCTAGCTGCGGCTAAATTTATGCCTGAGACAGCTTTCTTGTTGTGCTGAGTCCTTTTGTTTCTTCCGAGGATGCTGAATGTGATAAGGTTGGGGCAGCTCCCTGAGATTCCCGACACCTCAGTTAACTCCGAGGACCCAGAAACCCCCTTCCACACCCTGCATTGATTCGAGACTTACCTGGAGCAGAGAATTCTGGAGCTTCACATTGAGGGCCGCTTTCTCTTCTTCTAGCTGCTTTATTTCATTTTCTGATTTCTTCTTCACTTCTTCCAACTGTCCTTCTACTTCCTAAATGGTGATGAGGAGAGTTAGCCACACAAGGCACAAAAACATGGACTGGACACACCCAGCCTGATTCCCAAAGGGGTTCAAAGAAGCTTATGAGAGTCATAAAATACTGAAAGGAAAAACAGCAAGATGGTAGACAATGATAATCACATTAAATGTAAAGGGTCTAAATGACCTCCAAAAGTCAGAAGTTGTCAAAATGAATTAAAGAGTAAGACCCAGCTATACCATAAAAGCTCTTTGAATAGAAAGATATAGGTCGATTAAAAGTAAAGAAAAAGATTAAAACAGACCATGAAACACTGACTATGAAAACAATAGAATGACTATATTTGTATCAAAGTAGACTTCAGGACAGCAGTTTTTCACAAATGATTAAAGAGCCAATTCATTCAAAAGACACAGTAATCTTTATCTAATAAATAAGTCTGAATTCATATGGAGCAAAAGCTAAGGAGAACTATAAAATGTGACAACTTAAATGTGAGGTTTCAGTACTCCTTTCTACAGAACAAGTAGAGAAAAATTAATGAGGAAGTAAAATACTTGAGCAAGACTATCAACCAACACAACCTAATCGGCACTTATAGAACACTCGGCCCAACAGCAGCAGATCCATATTCTTTTCAAGTGCACAAGGACCATCCATCAAGACAGACCATATTTGAGCCATAAACAAGATGAATAATTGAAAAGGAATGAAATTATAGAGTCCATTCTTTGACCACAAGGGAACTGAATTAGAAAGCAACAGGAAAGGTCCCAATATTAAGCAACATATTTCTAAACAACCAAAAGTATTTTTTGGAGTTGATAGAAATAAAAGGTTGGGAAAATTTTTTAAAGAAAATTATTCAAATTTATAATTATTAGTAAAAGTAGAAAGCAGAGGCCTAGGAAGGTTTGGGGTGATTTCTTCAAGGTCTGACAGTGAGTCCGTTTCCCCAGACTCAGCACTTCTTACACGCTAACTTGAGTCTATGTTTGAGGGCATGGAAGATGGTAAGTTCCTTGAAAGCATGCGTGATTCCTCTGTCTCTGCACTGCTCAAAGCACAGGGAACACATTCAATAAATGGTAAACAATCAGGGAGTGGACAGTGGCAGGTGAGGACCTGCGGCTGCTCTCCAAGGCCTGGGCAGTGTGTCTTCCGTTACGCCACAGAGGACAAATCTTAGTGTCTTCGCAGTCAGGCAGGCTATGTGACTCTCAATGACCTAATCCCCCAGGTTCCTCATCTGAGAAACAGGAAAACCTCTGCCTCCAGGGCTCTGAGATAAGGAGGGAACCATGGAGTGGAGGGTTGTCGTTCCTTTTGGCTGCCCAGCACCTGATTCTCCTCCAGGTGTTTGGGATACATCAGAGCCCTCCTTCCACCTCAGACCCCGAGAACACCAGACCTACCTTCCCAGACTTCACATTTAGGGCTGATTTCTCTCCTTCTAGCTGCTTTACTTTGAATGAAGCCAGAGATACATACAAGTGGGAGGCACCTGGATCTGGCAACTTCAGTTTCCAGGGCGGCAGGACTGGTCATTCGAGAGCAGCACTGACCACTGGAATTCTATGGTGATGGGTCTAAAATAGACTATCCAACATGGTAGCCACTAGAAACACATGAGCACTGGCAGTGTGGCTAGTCCCACTGAATTTCACATTTTATTTAATTGTGATGAATTTAAATGTAAACAGCCACGTGTGTCTAGTAGCTACTATGTAAGACAGCATGGTCCTCCAGGCCATGTCCAGGATCAGGTACAGGTGGTGTCAGCAATGAAAACTGCAGGTCTGGGCTCAGAGGTTGGGGGCTGGGAGGGGGGTGGGGTGTCCTCACCAGTCTCACAGTAACTTTGGACATTCCTGGCTGGGTAGCTGCTCAGTTTCCTGGCCTTCCAGAAAACTACTCATTACTACCCATTACTAAATTCCTTTTCTGTCTAAACTGCCCAGGGTGGGTGTGTGACACTTGCCACTGGGAATCCTAAGCTATACAACCAAGATGTGGAATGCAGCAGGAGCTGGCACAGCCCAGGAGGCATTCAGTAACACTCTCCCTAGGAATCGGTGCAGGCAAGTGCTTATTCTAGGATGTGTGCTCTACTCTGTCTGTCAAGATTACATGATCATAGGATGTAATTCTGTGGACGAGGAAGACAGGCAGTCCTTCGGGGGCAATCCAGCCACCTGTAGTGTCTTCCTCAGGTTAAGGTAGCATTCAGAATACACAGTACACCCACAGCAAAGGCCTCAGAGAAATACTGCCCTCTTAACTCTACAGGGGAAGACACTATTTTTAGTCCATGAACCCTAGATTTGGGGCCTCTTCAAGGTTCTACCTAATCTGCATGGTCTAATTTATATAATGTATATCCTCAGTTTATAGAAAATACCAAAAAGTAAAATAAAACTGGCCCCCCTCCAACTCAGGAGGAAACACAATTCATTTCTACATGATTCATTTCCCAAATAGACTCATGACCCCTGATTAAAGCTGAAGTGGGATTTCTACACTCGGAGTCAGGCTTGGCTGATGGGTTACCAGGGCAACCTGCAGCTCCCGGAGCTACTGTCCCTCCCACTGACTGGGGCTTAGGATGGAACGACTGTGAGTCTGAGAACTGGATTTGTGCGAACAGTCACAGCTTATGGGGAGAAAAATGCTTTCAAAACAGTTGTTTCCTACCCAGCACAGGAGTGGGAAAGCATGGGCTCTGGAGTCAGGCTGTCAGGGTTTTTTTGTGTTTTTTAAAAAAATGTTTTTATTGATTTCAGAGAGAGGAAAGGAGAGGGAGATCGAAACATCAATGATGAGAGAGAATCATTGATCGGTTGCCTCCTGCATGCCCCCTACTACCTACTGGGGATAGAGCCCGCAACCCAGGCATATGCTCTGACTGGAAATCAAACCATGACCCTTGGTTCATGGGTTGACTCTCGATCACTGAGCCACACTGGTGTGCCAGGTTTTAATACTACCTCTATCACTCACTGTCTGTATTAAGCCTCAGTTTTCTCACCTCTAAAATGGGCATATGAACACTCATTTTGTAATACTGTTGGGAGGATTAAGTGTGTTAAAAAGAATTTAGTGCTTTATAATATTACTAGAGGCTCGGTGCACAAATTCGTGCACGGGTGGGGTCTGGCTGGCCTGCCCTGATAAGGGCCGATTGGGCAGGGCCAACAGGAGGTAGGGGTTGGGGGGGCCGATCAGGGTTGGGGCCGGCCTGGGGGAGGGGCCACGGGTGGTTGGGCCGCAGTGCAAGTCATAGTGACCGGTTGCTTGGCTTTTATATATATAGATCAGACATGACGTCACACAGTGCACATGGTAACTAACCATAGCCACTGTTTATTAAACTTTCACTACATGCCGTGCACTGAGCTAAGAGTTTAGACATAATACCACATTTAATCCACATAACAAGCCTTCGAAGTATGAAGCCTTATTTCAAAATCAGGTTTCAGAGAGGTTAATGGCCTGTCCATGGTCATACAGCTAGTGGGAGAGTCAGGACTTGGACCCAGGACTAGTCTGGGCCTTTCATGAGTTCATTTATTTATCCAACACATATGTACTGAGCACCTACTACTCTTAACCGTCACACAACACGGCATTCCTATGACATATGATCATCTTTCAGGGAAAACTGAAATTGATGGTGTAGGCTTTGGGGTTATAAAGAGGCTTTCTTGTAATACAGTTGTCCCCCGTTATCTGCACTTTCGCTTTCCGTGGTTTCGGTCACCCACGGTCAACCACAGTCCAAAAATATCACATGACAGATTCCAGTGCCCTAGCCAGTTTGGCTCAGTGGATAGAGCATCGGCCTGTGGACCAAAGGGTCCTGGGTTGATTCCGGTCAAGGGCATGTACCTTGGATGCAGGTTCCTTCCTGGCCCAGGCCCTGGTTGGGGCTCGTATAGGAGGTAACAAATTGATGTGTTTCTCTCACATCAATGTTTCTGTCTTTCCTCTCTCTTCCACTCTCCCTAAAAATCAATGAAAAAATATCCTCGGGTGAGGATTGAAAAAAAAAAAAAGACTCTTTGCCCTAGCCGGTTTGGCTTAGTGGATAGAGCATCAGCCTGCAGACTGAAGGGTTCTGGGTTCGATTCTGGTCAAGGGCATGTACCTCAGTTGCAGGCTCCTCCCTGGCCCAGGCCCTGGTCAGGGCGTGTGCAGGAGGCAACCAATCGATGTGTTTCTCTCACATCGATATCTCTGTCTTTCCCTCTCTCTTCCACTCTCTTCCACTCTCTCTAAAAATCCTCGGGTCAGGATTAAAATAAAGAACGAAGCCGGAGGTATCACACTCCATGACTTCAAATTAGAAAAAATAAAAATTCCAGCAATAAAACCATTCATGTTTTAAATCATGTCCCATTCTGAGTGGTGGGATGAAATCCTGCACCATCTCACTCTGTTCTGCCGGGACGTGACCCATCCCTTTGTCCAGCGTCTGCACACTGTACAAGCTCCCCGCCCATCCGTCACTTAGCAGCCGTCTGGGTCATCAGATCCACTGCTGTGGTATCACAGTGCTTGTGTTTGAGTCCCCCTTATTGTACCTAATAATGGCCCCAGAGCCATCCACGTAACTTTTATTACAATATATTGTTAAATTGTTCTGTTTTATTATTAGTTATTGTTGTTCATCTCTACCAGGTCTAATTTATACATTAAATCTTATCTTAGGTATGTGTGCACAGGAAGAAACACAGTGTATATAGGGTTCGGTACTATCCACGGTCTCAGGCATCCACTGGGGGTCTTGGGAAGTGTCCCTCATGGATAAGGGCGATGACTGTAATTAACGCTCCACTTACGTTCACAATAATATTTACCGTTTTCCTAAAACATTCACGTAGGTTATTTGCTTTCCCAGCAAACGGGAGAGACGAGGCTTTGCGTTCCGCCTTAGCAGAAAGCCGCCCCTTTGCTGGGAGGTCGGAACAGTACCCCGAGGCTGAGAATCCGCACACTGCCAGGCCTCCACGAAGCACCTGCACCCACGCCGTCCTTATGCAGCCCCAGGCTCTAGCATGTGCTTTGCTTTTTTCACATGGATCACCTCATTTAACCCTCGTACTCTATGGGGTGCTGTTTTCATCGTGTTTTATACACGAGGAAGCTGAGGCTGGCAGAATTTCTCTCTGAGGGGGCCCAGATTAAATAACCGCTCTGGTCATGGAGCTAGAGGGTGACAGGGCTGGGATTTGAGACCAGCTGTCAGCCAGGCCTGAGTGTTTGCTTCATATTATTTCTCTCTGTTTTTGCTGAGTGGAGTTGAATTTGCCTGTTAAACGCTCAGATGACACAATTCTAGCCCATGCCAATGGCTCCAGGCCCACTGTCTTAGGGTGTGATAGGGGGGACTTATAATCTAATAAATAGAGCACCTGTATTAGTCTGCAAAGTAATCATATGATTTTAAATCTTAGAACACATACACATATGTGAATAGATGGTTACGTTTTTCTTAAAGTTTCCTCTTCATGTTTAAAAAAATATTTTTATTGAATTCAGAGAGGAAGGGAGAGGGAGAGAGATAGAAACATCAATGATGAGAAAGGTTCGTTGACTGACTGCCTCCCGCATACCCGCCACTGGGGATCGAGCCTACAACCTGAGCATGTGCCCTGAGCAGGAATTGAACCAATGACCTCTTGGTTCCTGGGCTGATGCTCAACCGCTGAGCCACACTTAGCTGAGCTTAAAGTTTCCTTTTCAAGGCCTGTGTGAAGCCATTAACTGAGCTGTGAATTCAGCAAGCAGAACCCATAAGCATGGTCAGGCCGACCCACCAGGAGTCAAAACATCATCTCATCAGCATCATCTCATCGCCTGATGACTAATTTTAATAGCTGACGTCTGCGGACCCCCAGGCCTGCATTCCTCGCCCCATGCCCTTCCCCTTTATAATCCTGTCCCCTGAATCTTGCTGGAAGGCAGGATTTGATGCTTGTAAGGGACCTTCTGTCTTCTTGGGTGGCTGGCCTTCTCAATAAACGCCTAATATGATTCAACCCCGCCTTCGTTATTGGACACAGCGACAGGCAGGCCGAGCCCAACTGGGGGTTTCCCGGTAACAGGTGTCCCATCCCCTCCAAAGACCCCGAACCTCCTTTGGACGGAGAACTAGCTCAGGTCCGCACACAACAGGAGCTCAGCAAACATCTGAGGGAGGGAAGGAGAGGGAGGGAAAGAAGAGGAAAAGGAAGAACATCCGTGAGAGCGACCTCACCATCTGCAGCCGCTTCCTGTCGGCCTCCGCAGACGAGCGCACCGACTTGATTTCCGCCTTGTGCGTCTTCACCAGGTCCTCCAGGCGCCGCACCAGCTGCTCTTTCAGATGCTTCTTCTCCTCCTCTGTCTGCTGTTTGAGTTTACGAAGGTCCTGTTCGTACTGTTGCTTCAGGTGTTCCGCCTCCACACCCGCCTCTTTCTCGGTCTATAAAAAGAGGGCCCCGTAAACCTGCGAAGCGGGGTGATGAGCAGGGGACCACCGTTTCTTTTCTGTGCAACTTTTACGGTGTTTATGTACTGGTTTTACAGCCTGTTTCATAAGGTGCAATAAAGTTTATAAGACTATATATTTGATATTTGTAAGAGACTTGACTTTATGCACCATCAGAAAAGGGCTCTTCGGAATAATAGTGTATCTGTTGTCACAGGATCAGATAGGCCCATACTATAGAGCAGGGGTGGGGAACATCGGCCCAAGGGCTGTGTAAGGCCCGAGAAGTCATTTGGTCTGGCCCTGCCAAGGCCTGAGGGGTGAGTTAATGAAATGTTTGACCAAGTAGAGCAGGCTAATTTTTAAGCTGATAATTTTGTATGGCCTGCGCATGATGTTATAAATATCTAAATGGCCCCTGGCAGAAAAAAGGTTCCCCACCCCTGCTGTACAGGTTCCTACAGCGTGCTTTCTTTGTTTGAACTAGGAACATACAGAGGGGACACTAAGCAAGTTTCCAGTTTCCCAGGAGTCGATGATAAGGAGTTTGGAGAATTCTGCTACATTCTCAGTCTCCGTTTCAAACGCCATGAAGTTGGTGGGAAGTTGGCTGGAATCCAGACCCACATACCCACCCCCGGAGCCATGGCACCTGCTGCTTCCTGATCATCGTGGTTAGGGATTGAGCTCTCACCTGAAGCTCATTCTAGCAAAGCCCCGTGTCCCCACCCCCAGGGCTGGGTCACACACACCTGCGTATCTGTGCCTCCTTTCCTACACGGACACTCCTTGGGAAGGTTCTCATCCTGCTGAGGACGGGGACTGCGGGCTTCCACATCGTTTGCTTTCCCTAAGACCTCGTTCTCCGAAATTCGCTCCGTCTTCATGTCATCTACGAGCAAAAGATTCATCATCATTTGGAATGCCGTTGGCCTTGACGTCAGTCTGAGTCTGAGGCCTTCTGCTATTGAGTGCCCATGCTGCTATTCAACAATTTTGCCCACCACTCCCTATGTAATCCCTGCTCCTCGGCCTCCCGACCCTCAAGCATGGTCTAGGTCAGTGATGGCGGACCTATGTGATGGCGGTTGATTTTTCTTTGTTAAATGGCATTTAAATATATAAAATAAATATCAAAAATATGTCTTTGTTTTACTATGGTTGCAAATATCAAAAAATTTCTATATGTGACACGGCACCAGAGTCAAGTTAGGGTTTTTCAAAATGCTGACACGCCGAGCTCAAAAGGTTCGCCATCACTGGTCTAGGTGGTGATTGCCACCTTTGCTCAAGCAGCACCCTGAGTTCAAATAGTTGTCCTGCTCTCCCTTCTTAAACTACTCATCTTTAATTTTTGTGACTGTTTTCCAAAAGTTAAAAAAGCTGAACATGTTCCTGGGCATATGTACATTCAAAGGTTTTAAGTTAAAAGGACTTTAAAGGATAAGACAAAAAATAAATATAACTAAAACTGCTCAATTTCTTCCCCTATTCCCCTAGGTCAGTGGTCCGCAAACTGCGGCTCTCGAGCCACATGCGGCTCTTTGGCCCCTTGAGTGTGGCTCTTCCACAAAATACCATGTGCGGGCGCGCACGTACAGTGCGATTGAAACTTCGTGGCCACGCTGCCCGAGGTACTCATTCCCCACTTTAGAGACCACTGCTCTAAACCCTCCACACACCCTCTGGTTCCCACTCGGACCTCTCCTCCTCTGCACCTTTCCAGGCCTCCGGGATTTCTCCTTTCCCTGACACTGCCTCCTCCTCCTGCCTGGGCCACGCCCCGGAAACCAAAGCTGGAATGTCACTGTCCTCCATGCCCCCTGCAGGCAGAGCCCCTGCTGTGTGCCTTTGTTGTCTCTCCCAGCCAAGCTGGTCACACTGCAGGTATTAGAGAACTTTCTGATGAGGGAGCCCAGGGTAGGAATCAGATACATATTCTTAGACACAAGCACCAGCTCTATCACCAACCAGTCTGGCTGGCCCTGACCTAGCCATTTTCCCTTTCTCAGACTCAGTTCCTCAGCTGTAACATGTGATGCTGACACCACCCAGCTCAATAAGGTCACAGTGTGAGATAATGTTAAACGGGTAATGTGTATGGTGGTTATCAGAGAAGGGGGGTTGGGGGAGAATGAAGAGGAGAAAGGGGATGAAGAGGGAAAAGGGGGTCAAATATATGGTGACAGAAGGAAACTAGACCTCAGGTGTTGAGCACACAACAGAGTATACATATGCATTGATGAAGTTGTACAACTGAAATTTGTATGTTATTAACCAATATCACCTCAATAAATTAAAATATTAAAAAGTATAGTGTTGTCTAAGTGTGGGGGCAAAGCCAGTGCTGACAGGTGCGGGCACGGTGGTGGGCTGGTGGGGCAATATTTGGGAGCAAGGGGTCCTTTCGATTCACACCTTTTAGAGGTCTGGCCTGCAGCAGCGTGAGGTGCTGGCTCACCTGTGTCCTCCACCAGGTGGACTGGCCCACCAGGTGGGGCCGATCAAACAGCCCCAACCTGGTGGGCCAACCTTCCCCCTGCAGGGAAATCGTTCCAGGGTCTCACCGGTTCTCTGTGCCCCGTGGCACTCCTGCAGTATTAGTCTGTCTTTGGCCACGGCCAGCTTCTCCCCAAGTTTCTTGGCAGTGCTTTTCAACTCCGAGTTCTCCTGTCGAGCCTCCTTGAGCTGCACATCCAGGTCCTAAACAGACAGATGGTCTCATTTTTCTGGTTACAGTTCTGGGTAGAGACACCCTCTGCACACAGAACCAGCATCAGGTCTGAATGGTGGGGAAGCCCTCAGTCTCTGGAATTCAGTGGCCCAGGGCTCAACAAATCCCTACTCATCCTCTGATTGGCTGTGTGACCTTGGGAAGTTACTTAACCTTTCTGTAGTGAGGACCAAAAGAGATGAAGTGTCTGGGACAGAAAAAATGCTCAGGGAGTATTAGGAATATCAGCCACTGCTACTTGTAGGGGTAGGGGTCTGTAAGTCTGTGGGGCTCCCATAACTGATTTAGTGGTCTGGCTCTACAAATACAAAGCCCCAAGGATTTTAGGATTGGCAGGTTGTTATGGAATGAGCAGGGTCTTTAGAATTAGGCTGACCTGAGTTCAAAAACATACAGTGGGGCCTCGACTTACGAGTTTAATTCGTTCAGAGACCGAGCTCGTTAAGGAGCTCGTTAACTCAAATTACTCTATCAACTCAATGCAAAAAATCTGCCGGGAGACAGCTGGTATCTCAAAAAACTCGTTAGTTCGGACACTCGTAAGTCAAGGCCCCACAGTATTGGCCATGTGCCCAGCGAGGCCAGCCCTTAAGACTCTCAATTTCAGTCTTATCATCTGTAAACTGGAAATCTAAGCTCTCTGAAGTCAGGAGCCAACATTAGCTCACCACGTGTCTCCTGCCCATAGCCCTGGCCTGGCACATAGTAGGTGTTCAATAAATACTTGCTAAATACATGTGGTTGGACTCAATGAAGATAATAAAGCTCACTTCGGTAGAAGTCGAGTGCGCCTCACAGTGCCTGACACATAGTAGGTGTGCAAAATCAGGGGCTACGTCTATGATCCCCTTGGCAAGGTGGGAAGGGATCTCGCTCTACCTGGATCCTTTCCTTCAGCTTCTGGGCGTACTTCTTCAGGTCACTGATCTTGCGGCCTCGGTGCTCCAGGTCCCCTTCCAGCTTCCGGACCTGGGCCTGCAGGGCCGACTCCTGCACCTGGAAGTTCCTGCGCAGGTCCGTCTCCTTCTCCTGCCACTGCCACAGGGCCTCGCTCACCGACTGCTGCATGGCCTGCCGGATGCCTCGTTTTCCCGCTCGTAGGTGGCCCGCAGCTCCTCGGCCTTGCGGGCGTAGTCCTTGCTCAGCTGCTGGTTCTCCCCTCGCAGCCGCTCCACTTCCAGCAGCACCTCCCGCATCTCGGGCCCGGAGCTGGGCTCTGCCTTGGGGTCAGGGCCCTCCGGCGGGAGCCGGCCCCACGGGGGCGCCTCCTGGCTCATCAGCGCCGCAGCCGCTTCTCGTAGTCGGCCTTGAGCTCCCAGAATCTCCTTT